GGTTCTGTTCTATTTCGCGGGGGGGAAACTGTGCGGGGGGGGGGAAATTTTCTTCGTTTTTTTTATAACTCTTTTACATGATGCTATTTTGAGTTGTAATTCAAACTCTTAGTATATTTTTTGACGCTCTATCGAATGGCATTCAAGAAATTTTTGAAAGTTATCGAAAATGTCGAAAACTAGCTTTCGACTCCACGATCCCATGTGGAAACACCGAATAAACATTGTTTTTGCTATAACTATTTTATAAAACAATATTTTTAGATGAAATTCAAACTCTTAGTATATTTTTTGATGCTCTATCGAATGACAGGTTCAAAATATCGAAAAAATGGCGAAAATGCCAAAAACTAACATTCTGGAACCAGTTTCAATAGTTTTTTTGTTTTTGCCATAACTTTTTTATATTACAATATTTTTAGCTAAAACAAAAACTCTTAGTATATTTTTTGATGCTCTATCGAATGGCGTTGCAAAATTCCCGAGAAAATAGCGAAAAGATGGAAAATTCCGCGAAGCATATTTTCCCCCGCACAGTTTCCCCCCGCGAAATAGAACAGAACCAAAAACCTAATAGTAACGGATACGAGATTACAAAATGTACCTAGAAACGATACCAATAGTCTCGCCAACCTTGCAGGGCTATAAAATGCTTCTAAATCACGCAAAAATCCCGTAAAAACCACGTAAATTCTTCATTTCTTTGAAACCACGGGTTTTTGAAAAACTACGGAGAGCATTTTAGAAAACGGCCTATACTTAGCGTCAGGAGATGTTTTACCTTCTTTCCCCATTGGTTGAACATCCTTGAACGGGCGCAGACGAGACATGGAGCGCGACAGGTCCGACTTTGTCATCTTGTCGGCGGCGAATCAGCACGGTTGTAGGGCCTATAACAGGGGGATAAAAGTAATAAAGTAAGAGAGAACGATAGAAATAACAAAAGTGTTGAAAAGATATAAAAGAAACGTAAAAACACGAAGCAGACGAGCGCGCGCGAGAAAAAAACAGCAATTTTCTAAATTCTATATTTTCTAGAAAAATGGTATAAAAGTCAAAAAGTCAGGCGAGAGCGATGGAAAGAACGAAACTGATGAAACCGTATCGAAGAAGCGTGAAAACACGAAATACACGTGCGCGCGCTGGAAGAAAAGCAATTTGTCAGCCGTTTAGGGATTTTGATGGGGGTCGACGATATGGGTGAGACGCGGCGCAAATGGGCGATAAATCAAACAGTTTGTACGCCAAAAAACGGTACGCGTAGCGCGGGGTGTGACCCTCCAAAAACGGGAAAAATAGAAATAAATCAAATGTCGTGGCTAAAAATACATACAGAGTGATTGGGAGTACGAGAGCTGGGCAGTTTTTAGGGCGCAAGAGGCGTAGTTTTTCCTTTTTGCTGGAGTTTTCTTCCTTTTTCCTGTTGTTTTTTTGCTCTCAAAGATCGAAAAGTAGAATGAAAAATATAAATAAAGTAGAACCTGCGGCGCAGAAAATACGTTGCGTAATTGGTTATACGGTAGCTGGGCATTTTCTAGGTAACAAGCGTTAGGTGGTTTTTCATCGTTGTTTCGCTTTTCACCGTGTTATTTGGCTTTGTGCATCTGCGAAAGAAAGTTTTATCTAGTTATTTTTGCTTTTCGGTCTTTAGGAAGTGTTTCGTTATCGTGTTGTTGTTCTTGCTTTTTTTTAAATTACCATTTGAAAACCGCGTTTCAAGACGTTTACATGAGCTTTTTTTAAAGTTTTTGACTTTTTCTCTGGCCTTATCATAGTTTCGAAACAGTCCCATTTCTGTACGACCAGAAAGACTCGAGGAAACGGTGGGCGGTGTGCGGAAAATTAATTTCTGCCCGACGCCAAGATGGTTGTCGCAGAATTTCAAGAAGGCCAACAAAGGCGGTCGATTTTCTCTGGATATTCAAGGGCATTACGATCCCCATGATTTTCTGGTCGCTAGCTACCGTAGTTTTGATATTTTCAAATCTAGCGACAGCGAGCCGCCACGAAGTTTACGCCACGGTTCGTTATGTTCGGCGACCTAGCAAAGATGGGGATTTTTTGGGCGAGAGTGGGAGAGAGAGAGAGAGAGTGAGAGAGAAAGAGAGAGAGAGAGAGAGTGAGAGAGAGCGTGAGAGCGAGTGTGTGAGAGCGTGAGTGAGAGGGCGCGAGAGAGAGGAAGAGCGTAAACGATAGAGCAATGGCGAGAGAGCGAGATAGGTAGAGCGAGTCAGACGGTTAGCAGAAATTTTTAAAAATTATTTGTGTAGGCAAGCTAGCAAACACCGTTTAGGAAATCTCTAACGAGAATTTCCATTTTCAGGGCAAAATCACGTGCGGCGAGAAGGCGTGGGCCGAGCAACGGGTCGAACTCTGGGAGAAGAACGAATGTAAAAATTCTCGTTATTTCCAGGCTTCTTTCAGGGAGCACCGACGTGGAGGTGACCCACTCGGTGACGACGGCCGACGGGACATTTGGTATCAAGGCCGTCAATAATATTGTAGGCGACAAATCATGGTTTTTTTACTATAAAGCATGCCCGAGAAAAGGACTTTAAAACCGAAGAAAATGCTATGCTAAAATGCTAAACGAATAATTTTTCCAGCTTCTCCACCGCCCGAGGTACTACATCAAACTCGTTCATGAATGCAACGTGGTTGCGGTCAGTTTTTGGTTTTAAGCTTTTTAAACTATAGAATAGCTCTCGTTATTTATATCTTGCTATCTGTTTCTTACTCTCTCATACACTTCTCTTTCTCTTTCTCACTCTCCCACTCCCACTCTCTCTCCCTCTCTCCATCTCTCCCTCTCCTTTCTCTCTCACTCTCTCTCTCTCTCTCTCTCTCTCTCTCTCTCTCTCTATCTCGATCTCTCTTTCTCTCTCTCTCTCTCTCTCTCTGTCTCTCTCTCTCTCTTCTATCTCACTCACTCTCTATCTATCTCTCTCGCTCTCTGTCTCTCTCTCTATCTCGATCTCTATCTCTATCCCTGTTATATCTCTCTCTGTCTCTGTCTCTATCTCCGTCTCTCTCGCTCTCTCTCGCTTCCTCTAAGACTATTTTCAGCCCTGCAAACAAGAGAACCAGTACTTCATCCCGGCCGAATACCTCCACGGCCAGACATTCGAGCTGAAGGACGTCGACTTGATGATGAAGCCGGAGGGAGCGCAGGTGATATCGAATCCTTGGAGATTTTAAAAATTGCAGTTCTCTAGTCAAAAATTCTATTTTCAGGACAAAGTGAAGCCGGTATGCTGAAAAAGACGTCGGATTGTCGGCATAAATTTTCCTCAATTTTCTCCGTCTAATTAACACGAGAATCCGGCGAACACATCAAACATCTCGGCTTTTCCCTCGGCAGTAACAAGCTGTCCGCGAGAGCGAGAGAGAGAGAGAGCGAGAGAGAGAGAGAGAGAGAGAGAGAGAGAGAGGGAAACGGACAAGACATTGCTAAAAATACAGACAGAGGATCGTAAAATCAAACGATTAGCTGCTCTCCTGTCTCGCCGAACCCGCAGAAAATGATAGGTACAAACAACAGCTCAAAATTGACTATTTTCGAAAACCGGAAGTAGCCTTCGAAAGAATGATTGATTAAACTTCAGCTGTTTCCACTTCTTAAAATCTGTCCGTTCTAAAGCTGTAAAAACATGTCCGCTGTGCTAAAAATTCAGCACCCGAAAATTCCTACAGAACCGCTGCTAGACTGCCAAATGTTGGTGTAAATCTGGCGCGGGGTAATCTGTGCTTCCGCTAAAAACAGTGATCTGAGCGATCCAGCTAAAATTCGCGCTCACCAGACTCCTTGAAGATGTCGGACGAGAATTGTATACCCTTCTACGACTGTCGCATCTGGCGGATTTTATGGATCGTTTTGATCAAAATTTGTTAACACAAATCATGGGGACAAGACAAGACAAGACGAGCCGATAGACAAAGCTGAGAAACTGGAACCTCCCTGGGGCAACGGGGTGCTGACAGAATGGTGAAGCAAGGGTGGGGTTGTTCGCCAAATGTTCCCTACACCACCACCAGTACATGGCAGAAGCACGTAATTTGGAGTGATCCGGAAGTCGTCTAGTACTTGCGCCGCGTCGTGAGATCAAACACTCATTTATCACGGTTTTGGCAGGGAAGGAACAAGCCGTAAATTTCGGGCTACAAGAATCGCTGCATATACGCGTTGCGGTCACGTAGAGTATCGCCGCCAAATGCTAGAGCAGGTCTGGTTCGAGCTATAGAGATAGATAGAGGGAGAGAGAGAGAGAGAGAGAGAGAGAGAGAGAGAGAGAAAGAGGGAGAGAAATTCTAGAGATCTTAAACACGCATCGGATCCGGGGCCTCTGTAGTGTTTTTAAAGGAACGAACAAGCGCCAAAAATCGACCCCTACCTGTTTCCTAGGTCTCGACAACTAGGCATGCGCGTAAACATATTTAAAATCGTTAACCGGGCTTTGTTTACAGACATCGTACTTGTGCGGAAAATTTCGTCTTTAAAATAAGGGACGCGGTCGTGTCATTGCGTAACTTTCGGGACCTAGTCGCACCATGGGGTCGATTTTAACATTTTCCAGACCCTTTAAACTTTCTCCGAAGCTCAATATACACACGTTTTCGATCTCAAGAGAAGTGACTTCTTCAAAACCTTCTAATCAACCTTGCAAATCAAGGGCACAGCGCAAAAGTGTAGTTTTCGCAACGGCGTACAGTGGAGTGTAGCGTACACTCGATTACGCGACTACGTCAAACGCGGTCATTGGTGGAGGCCTTCTAATTACAGCCCATACCCGCCCCCGATCCATCAATCCGTTTTTACAGTCGGTCGGCCAGGTGACAGTGGAAAAATCCGGGGGAATACGGTCAAAAAGATCCGGAATCCTCAGGGATTACGGTACCCGACGCGATGTACCGGAAATGATCCGATCGGTCTAGGAAAATATAAACACCAAGTGCACCTTGGAATAGCTGAAAATTGACGAATTTAGGGGCAGCACGGAAAGCCTGTTTCGCTGATCAAAAAGTGCGACGCTGTGTCAGAGTCCAAAAGTGAAAGGTTGAGAAAAAGTGCGGGCAGGATGGCAGTCATGGAACGGCAGCAATTTTTTATATAGCTAGTAGCATTGCGGAATTTTCATACGGATGGATTAAAGGGACTGTCACCGCAGAAAAAGGCGGGCGCCAAAAGGCTTCGGCTTTGGACCGCGACACGCAACGCGAGCCGCCACGCTTCAGTCAAACGCTTGCCATGCCGTTCTCCACAAAAAGGCGAGCCGCAACGCGGCAGCGCGTTCACGTCGCCTGCCCAAACTGCCTTTTTAAAGGGACGAGGACAACGAAAAACTGGCCATTTCCTGGAGTCAACAATACAGCCCAGGATCTTGCAGAGATTTGACCTTTATCCTCTCGGCCCGGATCCCTTCTCATGCTCGATTCTCTTCTTTTAGGCGCGGCTCAATGACCGCTCAACCAAAGGCTCAATCTCCACCCCCACCCGACCCAGCCAGCCATAGATGGAGGGCAGGGGAGGCAACTCCTTCTCCTCCCCTCCACTCCGCTCCTATTGACGGACAACATAAATACACACAAATTTTGCCTGTGATTTCCGCCCACCTTTGATAGCTGGGTGTGGCGAGACTCTTGAATCCTGGTGGTGAAAGGAGGAAGATCAAGCTTTTTCGAATATTTGAGCTTTCCGGATTGCACGATTTTTTGAGCACAAAGGTATTTTGGACCCTTTTTATGAATTTCCTGGTTTGGAAAATGTGAGGAACAAGGTCCGTTTAGCTGCCCTTTAAAAAAGCTTTATCTTTTCTGGGGTTGAAGTGTCTTCCTACCGTATTCCGGGAAGTTCGTGGGTGAACAATTCAATAAAATAATTTGTTTTGGAGGCCTTTTTTTTGGCTTTCCGGCCCTTTACGTAATTTCTGCTCAAGGTTACGCTTCCTTCGTAAGTTTTTAGAGAGTTCAAGAGGCAGGAAATTGTTGAAGATTATCCGTTTTTGAGGTCTTTTCCGGGACCCCGAGATACTGATTACGGTATCTTGGGCACTTTATGGGGCCTTTAAGGGTCAGGAATGGAGACAAATGTTTGCTTTGGAAATGTTTCTCATTCTTCTTTTTCCCAAAAGAATTCGGGGAGCTAACTGTAACCGTTTTTTGGTTGACCGTGGGATTTCGATACGTGAGATAGCACATTTTGTGCAGAATTTTTCGCTGATTCCGAATCCGTTTTCAAAAGTTGCGGAACCCCTCTAGATAAAAAGTTACAGCCGATTTTCTACCCCAAATGACCGAAAATTACAAACTTTAAATCCTTATAAAAAACTCGTGGAACATTTTGTGGGATAAAATACAGCACTCCTAGGGGGGAAAAAAACGTGCTCTTTCGAATGGGCCACCTTACGAACCCGTAGCTCAAAATTCATGAAAAAAAGTTTTTCGGTGGATCAATGCCCTGGATGGCCAATTTTTGAAATTTTGTGAATTTTGAGCTACGGGTTCGTGAGGTGGCCCATTCGAAAGCGCACGTTTTTTTTACCCCTAGGAGTGCTGTATTTATCCCAAAAATGTTCCACGAGTTTTTTATAAGGATTTAAAGTTTGTAATTTTCGGTCATTTGGGGTAGAAAATCGGCTGTAACTTTTTATCTAGAGGGGTTCCGCAACTTTTGAAACCGGATTCGGAATTAGCGAAAAATTCTGCACGACATGTGCTGTCTCACGTATCGAAATCCCACGGTCAACAAAAGACGGTTACAGTAAGGCTGAAATATCTGGCGTTGTTCATGTCTCCGCCCGATTCAGCTATCCACTATACAATGGATTCCACAAGTATAAAATTGTCACTTCGCCACTGCCTATTAAATTTTTATATGTTTCACCAGCGTCAATAGGCCTTCTCCGGTGTTTACAGAAATCGGAACTGTCGGCTTCATCGATCTTCCGTTGAACTTTATCACGGTAACTACATGGGCACTCCGCAGATTGTATCATCCATATATTATCAACCACCATCCAAACACGCTTTGGTCTATAGCCTATCACCTCACTTTCCCCGTCCATTTCCGGTGCACCCACTCTGGTTCCACACCCAACGAGTGAGCATGGGGGATGATGGGAGCGCTGGCTATTTTCGACAAAATATCATGCGGCGCGTGAAGCAAGCCTTGCCCTTATTATCATCCGATTTGCATGACGAATCGAGTGCAAAAACCGAAGTCGAACCGGATCGATATGGGGGCTTTAAAGGGAGCTGAAACGTGAGGATCGACTCCTATCTTCGACTAGTTATCGATAGCTACGCGCCGCGCTAAAATACGCTACAATCTTACGTTTATGGAAATTCGACCTGACTGTCGTCTGGCGCTTCGCGTAGTTGTCAAGGCCCAGCCATCGCTGGAAGAAGGTCGGAAGGGACCTTTAAAAATGCTAAACCGTTCATAAGCTGATCGTAGCTTACGCTAGTCCACTTTTGAGCGTATCTTCGCTTTTAAACCTATTTTTATTTAGCGACTGTTTGGTTTTTCGTATTTTTGTGCAAGTTTTTAGCGTATGCTTTGCCGTTTAACTTATTAGGTTGGCGCTATATTATTTTTTAATGAGTTATAATTTTTTCTAGTGAATTTTGGTCTTTATTGGAACCGGGAGGCTCTGGCATACCTTCCTAAGTTAGCTTATTTTACGATTTTCTCTTATAATCCCCTTCCAGACGCGTCCCTGATTCATCATCCTCAATTTGCATTTGCCGGTTCAAGCCGGAACAGACAAGGGGTCCCCCTGTCTTTTTTTGTCGGTGCACGTGTCTGTATTTTTGCATGTGCCAAGCGCCGAAAAAAGGGGAGGTCCGATAACGGGGACAGCCGTGTTTGTATGTATGCGTATTCCTTGTGCCAGCGATTATTCAGCAGAGATGGGCTGAAATCCTTGCAACACACCGCCATATTCGGCTCCGTCTTGCCAGCCGGTCAATTCGAATTCTCTGAATTTAATTTTTCACTATTTTTGGATTAGAATTGTCGAAATCATCTATATTTTCAGTTTGCTAAGTTCATAGCTAAATTTTTTTGGTTTCTAATTTTTTTTGCCTTTTTCCCGTGCGTTCTGGTCTTTCGAAATTACTAAAACTTTATAAAAGCATGCTTTTTATAGTATTTATATCAAATCGTGTATATTTTTCGTTTTTCTAAATTTCGAAACCTTGCGGTCGGTATTTATAGGCGTTTTAGCAATTTTCTATTTTCAAAAAATCAACCTTTTTTAGTTTCGGCCGCAGTTGTTCATTTTAATACATAATTTTTTTTAACTTAAGCCGGAAATTTTAATGTGAATATTTTGACTTTAAAAAAATTGGGGAAGAATAACGGAATTTCGAAAGAATCTGAATTCGACATTTCGAAATTTCCTAAGGCATACTGCCGTTTATAAACAGCTAAAACGTTCAAATTTAGTTTTTATTTTTTTTACTGAAAAAAATGACGACTAATTTGAATAATTCATGGGATCGGGAAGTTACTGTAAAACAAATTTTTTTCAAAATTTTTAAGTTGATTTCAACGAAATCACGGTCCATAACTTTGTTTTCAACATTTGCAAGACGTTCACCTAGCGTTTGAAGGGGCTAGGGGGTTCGAGCCTTGTCTCCTCGCCCGCTATTTGTTGACTTATCTTTGCCACTTTTCCGGAGCAAATCCCGACTGGGGGTGACCATGCCACAGCCCCACACTCGCTGGAACGTTTGTTTGTTGTCCTGGTGGTGCCCAGGAAACCGACCCAATTTTTGAGGAATTTCATGGTTATTTTTCAGCCAAATCTCACGAGTTTGTCCCATTTGTTTGGTTTAGTCTGTTCCATCCTCCATTAACGATTTATTATTTTATTTGTCGGTATTCTAGCTCACGAAATTTGGAAATTTTCCCATTTTATGTGAAAAATTTGAATCTTGGCTACCCTGACCACGTCAAATCTTCATTTTCATTGCGTAAAGGGACTCCTAAATCTGAGCGACGGCTCCCTGCGTTGATTCCTGGCAAATAGCTAGATACGACCCCAACACCATCTTTTGCCCCTGGTTGGACTTGAAAACGCACCGAACGTGTCGTAGCGTAGCATAGCGTATGATCCCCCCATCGGATCATATCGTAACGTATCGTTGTACCATATTGCATCGTAAAGAAGCGTATCGTAGCTTACCGTAGCTTATCGTTGCCTATCGTAACATGGGTAGCGTAATGTGTCTTAGCGTAGCGTAGCGTAGTGTACAGGGTGTCCCAAAAAAAAGCACCCCCTTCTAGCGGCGCGCAGACGTGTCCGATTCACGCCGTTTAGGTATCTATCGAAAGCTCTCGACAAGGCGAGAAAACATGGAGGGTTCATTTTCTTTATTATGTATTTTTATTGGCGAATTTTACCTCCAAATTCCATGAAAACGGCAGATTTACGCGAGATCCGCATGCTAATTGCGTAATTCCTATTGAAAAGATACCTGTTTTTTAGAAAAATGCTGAATATCGGACAAATCAGAAGAAATCTTAGAAAATGAAGCCCGCTTGTTTTCTCGCCTTTTCGCGGGCTTTCGAATGGTATAAAAATCATCCTGCTCTGAGCTTACCACGGACCGCTAGAGGGGGGTGCTTTTTTTTTGGGACACCCAGTATTGTAATTATTGCAAGGCAGCGTACACTTGTTGCGACGTATCGCGATCGTAATGTAGCGTAATCATCGTAATATCTGATCGTAACGTATCCATACGTATTTTGCTTCACCCCGCGATTTTTACAATTTCTTTTATTCCGTAAAATAGAATCTAGTCCAGAAATCATGCGTATTTCTTTGATCTGTTTGGACGACCCCCCGTGGGCACTATGACTAACCCATCCTCCTTTTTTGCATCGCGTTGAACCAAAACATTCTCGGCCACCCACCCGTTCCTTCAGTCCATTTTTCCTTACACACGCTGCTCCGCATATCAGTTTCGAAAATCAGCCGCACATGGCTTCACCAAATCGATTTTAATTCTGATTTTTCTTTGATTATTGTGTGAAGTAATTTGGCTTCAGGATGGCTTCAGGATGTTTTTTACTATTTTTTTAAACGTCAAACCGTGTCCATTTCCAGAAAAATGCTCGACAAATACACGTCCAAACCCAGCAGCGGCTTCGGCGCCGATTTCGACAAGCAGCCCTTTGGAAAAAAGGTTTCTTTTCTTTTCTTCTATCTTTCTAAAAGTAAGCTAGCCGGGATTCTTTAGGAATCATGGAAATTTGGCTGATTCGATTCAAAACATTTCAAATTTCAGTCGTCCGGCTGGGGCTGTTGCCGCCACTCGTGCCACCGCTCATTCGCCGACTCGCAGAAGAAGTTCGCCGCCGAGCTGATCAGCATCATGCGCCAGGAGGAGAGCAAGGAGCGCAAGGAGCAGGAGCGCCAGGTGAGCAAAAAGTTTTTAAAAGAGGAGATATTTCATGTTGTCAAAATGCGGAGATTTCCCATGAACGAATCTCGACCTTCTGAAATGTCGACGTTCTGAAATTTTTGATTCTCGGATTTTGGCATTTTCTAAAAATAATTCAACGTCATCTATCCTTTGAACTTATGCTTTGCTTTTCGAGACAATTTTAGCCTTATTAGCTTCCATTTTTGGGAACAATGTAGCGTTAAAAATTCGTGCGTCTGAAAACAAGTTGGAGCCGGTCGGCGGGACTTTAGCAAAAATAGACCAAGTCCAAAAACAACCTCGAAAAGGTATAGAACTATTGCGAAAGCCTCTTCGGGATTCTGACTCCAGCAAACTACAAGCTACAAAAAACCTTGTAAAGTCCATTTTTCAGAATTCTGAGAAGCTGGGCAACTCTTCCTCCTCGCAACCAAAGAACCTCATGAAGAAGATCTCGACCATCTTTAAGATCTAAATTGAATGCGGCAATGAACGTCTGCTTCTCCTTAGCTCCCCTCTTTCTCTCTCTCTCTCGCTTTCCCTCTCTCTCTCTCTCTCTTTCTAGCTCTCTCCCTTCCATCGCTTTCCTCGTTCCGTTCCGGGTGCATTTCGTTGAAATGTTCGTTCTCCATTCCCTTGGTCTCCCCTATTCTTGTCTCGTTTTCGGCTACGTTTTTCACTTCTCAAAAAAGGACTAGCGGGTCTGTACCTAAAAGTTGTGCCCAAATATATCTGCAATTTTGGCCAATTTCACTTCCGATTATCCCGATCACTTGGCCATTTTGACGCAGGCAATTCTGATATGATGTCTATTGGTGCGCCAGTTCGCTGATTTTTCGGTTTGTCTGATTGTGCTTGGTATTTGAATTTAATAAAACGGAAATATAAACACAAAAACTTGCGAAAAATAAGCTTTTTAGTGGCGTTTTAAAAGGTCTGGTAAGACAAAAATTGGCCCGTCCGAGAGGGATCGTATTGGCCGGAAAAGCGTCGAAATTTTCCAGACTTCCCAATCCCTTTAAACCCGCTAAAAACCGGAAAATAAAGTTTTCACAAAATTCCATAGGGGGGTTTTAAAGTTTGGCTTTCCGGTGGTCCTCTAGACTTCCCGGTCTCTTTAAAACCATGAAAAAAACGAGAAATAAGAAAAACCATCAAGGAAGACAAGAAAAATCAGATATCCCATCCGGAAAATGGCTATTTTCGGTGGCCGGAATAGCGGAATGCCCTCCCTAAATTGGGTAATTAATCCGAGACGCGAAGATGTTCTTGGGAATTGGATAGATCCGGACAGACGGAAAAGCTAGACTAAATAGTGGGAACTAGCAGAGGTCTTTAAGGAATTCTGGGAACAAGCAACTAGGAGCCGATGGCTAGCTAGCAGGGTTTCTTGAGGCATTCTGAGGCAGAAAATCTTGAGCGGAGTTTTCGAATCTTTCGAAAACCATGGAAAAGCCTTCGAAATCGAGCCAGCCAATTTGTCCTCGTTTCCCCCTAGCTCCATCCGTTGAAAAATCAGGAGCATCACCCCGCTCTGTGCATCGGAATGGAACGGAAGTATCGGGGAGGCCGACGAATCCAATGAGGAATTGCCCGTCTACACGCATTGCAGCTAGAGAGAGAGAGAGAGCGAGAGAGAGAGAGACAGAGCGAGAGAGAGAGAGCGAGAGAGAGAGAGGAGCAAAGAAGCAAAGAAACAACGAAACAAAGCCGATTCTACCCGGATTCAAATTTTTGACGTCACTTGGAGTGGCGCGTAGTGGACTCAAGCATCCAAATTGCATTGCTAGTTGGAGGGCACGTAGAAAACAATGTATATGGTTTTTATTCGTTGAACGTCGCTCCACCGACGGGAAATCCTGAAACTTTTCCAGTGTTTTTGGACGATTTTTTCTTCGCGAATTTCCCATGAAGTCTCTTTGGATGCCTGGCAGCACGTCATCTAGCTGAAATCAAGTTTCCAAGCGGACTTGAGGACCTCGCAAAAGCATAAAAATCGAAGCTGGGTGTGAAATCTAGCGGGAAACGCTCCAATCCAATTGATGGGGCAGCAAGGCCCTTGATTTCGAGGGGGTGGGTTGGGAAACGCGTCTCTAGGTTTTGATTCATTGAAAAGCATGTTTTCTCTTTGTATCTGGATTTCGATCCTTTGAAAAGTTCGGTAGACTGCTACGAGATTTTAAAGGGACAATGAAGTCATTTCTTAAATTCTTTAGTTTTCTAGTTATAGTTTCTTTTATCTTCATTTTTAGGATCTTTCGGCGTGTTTATTTTGCTATAAATTCCCTATTTTGATGAAATTTCAACTGATGAAGAGCCACTAAAATAAAAACTAGGAGGTTATTTCTTTTTGATAATTTCTGCTCCGTATGGTCCAAGTGTGCCAGGCTATTTATTTCACTTCCAAGTCCCTCTAAAGTTTAAATTTTTGTCATTTAGACTTTAAACCTCAAAATCATCCACTTTTTTGGCCCCCAAATCATACCATTGAGATCATGACCCTTGGCCCAAAATGGGCCCTCTATCTCCCCAGGGGCCCTGCTTGATTTGGCCCTTTTGGGCGGGCCCCGAGGCCCGCCCCAACGGCCACCGTAGCTACAGCTCCCCGGCTTCTCCTCACTTCAGCATCTGCTCCCACGGCCTCTTCTAGAAGCTCATTCTAGAAATCCTGCCCCAAAAAAATGCGGCTCCTCCTCGTGCTACTCACCCTCCTCGCCACCGTCGCCCACGCATTCTACCCCAATATCTATGCGTACAGGTTTGTATTTAGAGATTTTTGGTACCGTGTTTTGCAGTACTCTGCCGTACTCTGTTTTTCTATATTTATAGGAACTTTTTTTTCTAGTTTTAAAGGGTTTCGGGCCAAAAACGCTTAATTTTGAGTTTAAATCTATGCAAATTACCCGCAGAATTGTTTAGAGGATCGTTGCGTAGCCCGTTTCTCTCCCTTCCTCTCGCTCGCTCTCTCTCTCGCTCTTTCTTTCTCCCTCCCCCTCTCTCTTTCTCGCCTAAAATCACTGGGAATTTCATTCAAAATTTATGAAATTGCTCGGGTAATGGGCCCACATCACCGAACCATGGACTAGCATATTTTGGCGTATAATTCTGAATTCCGGAGAACGAAATTAAGCAATTTCGGACACGAAAGTTCCGGCTAGCTACTTCAACCCACCCCTCCCTCCTCCGCACCCAGATATAACCTTTTTACTGCACCCCGCACGCTATGAATAGGGCATTGTGACGGCTGGTCGAAGGCGCAATTTAATTTTGGATTGCGGTACTATACTAAAAAACGTCGCTACTTTTGCAGAATTTCGAAGAGAAATAATTGATGGGTTTTGGAAACCAAAAGTTGTTTCCAAGTATCCAATTAAAGACTCGACAATCAGTATGGCCTAAGCCTAACAAGGGAACCACCCGAGGTCGAGGTGGCGTTTCGTTATGGGACCCGGCCTATTTTGTGCAGAATTTTTCGCTGATTCCGAATCCGCTGCTCATTTTTGCCAAATAGCTCGTTTTAAAAAGTTATAGCGCTACAAAGTTCCATTTTTTCCCAAATTTGTGAACTTCAAAGCCATTTATTTTGCGTTTCCCTGCTGATTCATCAAAAACGAATATTGCCATCGTATTCAGAAAATTTTTCTCTATCGAATGAGCTATTTAACTCAAAATTGTTGGAAATCGAAAAAATCGACGATACTTGGTATGGACTTCGTTTTTTGTATGGGAAATGGTGAAAAACAGGCTATTTCACACTCCCATAAGTGATCATCGATAGGCAGTAGCGCAGTAATGAAATATACCATTCGAATCAGAAAAAAAATTCTCTACAAGATAGGCTATTTAAAATGGATTGGCAAATTAAAACAAAAAAGTTGGGCATCGTGACAGATGACCGCCCGCGGGTTCAAATATGATCTTAAAATTGCCGTAACTTTTTAAATCGGGCTATTTGGCAAAAATTGAAAGCGGGTTCGGAATCAGCAAAAAATTCTGCACAAAATGGGCTGGGTCCCATAACGAAACGCCACCTCGACCTTAGGTGGTTCCCTTGTAAGCCTGCTCCTAAGCTTACTGCTAATCCTAAACCTGAGCCTGAGCCTAAGCTTAAGCCAATCCAAGACAAAGCATCATCTTAAGCCAAGCCTAAGCCTGAGCTTAATCTGAATCATAAGCCGGAGTCTAAACTTGAGCCTAGGCCCAAGCTAAGCCTAAGCTTGAAGCCCAAGAAAAATCGGACTTCCGCATCGTTGAATTAGGTACCGGCAATTCCAAATTTTCCAAAAATTTGGTGCTTTCCTCAGGACGATAAGTTGTTTCCGAATTCCGGATGATTTTCCGGTTTTCCATGGCTATGATTTTTTATGACGAAACGCTCGCTATTACGCGAAGCTGGCGTAAACCTAGAATTCGAAGAAATCGGCGCATACAAGTCAAATAAGTAGGTAAAGTTGAAGAAGCGCTTGACTTCTGCCGTCACGTTCTACTCGCGCAAAATTTGCAACTTCTCACGTCTTGAACAAAGCGTACCTCCGGCAACATGTACAGTACCTCCGGCAACATGTTTACGAATTCAGCCCGGACCCTCCTCGGCTTTCCTTCACCCAAGGATAACTGCTGATTTCTAATAGCAACGGCGCGGGGTGTTGTTTGGGGTATTCGCGCTTTCGGGGGTGTAAATTTTCTCATGCAACGAATTTACATCCCGCGGCATAGCAGATTTGAGGATGCGAAATGTCACACGCTCCTGTCCTTAGGCTCAAAAATATTTGCACATCAAGGCGAGAGAGAGACCTAACGAGAGAGAGAGGGGGGGGAGAGGGAGAGAGAGAGAGAGAGAGAGAGAGAGAGAGAGAGAGAGAGAGAGAGAGAGAGAGAGAGAGAGGGAAAGAGAGCGAAAGTCAGGATTTCGGGGGCGGAATCGAATTTTGACGACGATGCGCGCGGCTCCGCTACAATCCGCGCAATCAGAACGGCGCCGGGTCCCGAGGGGGGCAAGCTTTTTCTACAAATCCCCTTATAGAAAGTGAAGTTCATGATACGGATGATGTCATGCAAATTCTAGAAAAATTATAGGTTAAAGGGTTCCACAGCCCTGGTGAATTACCATAAAATCACGGTCTGGGCAGAAATCGGCTCTGCCCTTCCCCTTAGGGCGCGCCTTTCCACTCGTTTTTTACATAGCGTAACCGGTTGGTCTTTTACCAAATGCCAAATTAGAATGCCGATACGGGCGATTTTTATTTCATTAAACGGTTAGTGTCGGTCATTCATTCATGTCATTAAACGGTCGAAAACTTAAAAACAGTTGCTTTGGGAAGATCTTGACGCTGAAAACCCTGCTGGCACGCTCCATTTAAAATCCATTTTGACGATTAATGCGCAGACTAGCAAACAAAAAAAAATAATGTTCCAGAAACGCAAAAATTCCAAAAATAAGGAACAAAAACGAATCCCAGGTTGACCACCCAATCCATCATCTCAGCCATCCGATACGGTATTCACCCCCCAGCAGCACACTGGCACACAGCAATTGTTGATGGGTTGAGGCGGGAGAAAGAGAGAGAGGGAGAGCATCAGATAGTGTGATAGATTCATAAGGAACGGGTCGATTGAGCCGTGGCTTCCGGCTCAATCTGTGGCTCCCTTGCCTTGGACTGTGTACGATGGGTGTACAGGGGAGCGTTGTGGAAAAAATTATCGGGGGGTTAGGATGAAGACTGACGCCTTTACGATAGTATAATATTTTTAGAAGAAAATTCGAATTGTCATCATGACCCTCAAAGTTTCGGCGTAGTTGTAATTTTCACATTACCGTTTTTTTGCGCATTTTCGAGGTTTTTGCCTCGAAAATTCCCTCACTTTTTTGTAATTGCCGTACAGCAGCGTATTTTGGTTTAGGAATACCTTACGTAGCATTTTCCAATTCTGGGATCAGCTATATTTACAGTCAGGGACCAGATTTCCGCCTCAGCTGTCCTTGCCACTCCTCTTTCCGCTCTTTTCCACCTTCCGCTCGCTATCCCTCAATTTTGAGGGTCAACCCGCCAAAAAACAGATCAATTTTTGGGCCTTTTACGGATCCTGGCAAAATTTGGGATGAATCCCAAATTTGAGACCGGTCTGGCCAAAGAAACGTGGTGGAATTTGAGGTCATGGAAATGAGAGTGCAACTTTCGCTTTTCCTATGTTCCTATTTTGCTACTGGGGGACCATCAGATAGTTCGAGATACAATTACGGGACCGACATTAAGACATTTTAGAACAAAATATAAGCTGCTTTACACCCGCAATTTTTTGTAGCAGGTTTTATTGAACCGTCTTTTGCTTTTTGAAAATTCGAACATCGGGTTCTCGTCAATAGGGCATAATCGTAATGAAGGTAGTTTATGTCTAGGTGTCCAATGCTGAGGAGCGTGTCGTAGCGCTGACTTTAGAAAGGTAGCCGAAAATTGAAGCGCAAAAATTCCGAAATCCTTAATCCCGACAATCCAAATACCGACGTGAAAAAAAGCCGTGACAAGGAAGTGGGATTCAAAGTGCCTTCAAACATACACCCGGATTTTGGCCCGTCGGAAGTTTGCTGTCGGTATTTTGGCGTTTCCGGATTATAGCCAGAATTCTTTTCGTTAATTTATTTCATTCTTGTCAAGACCTAGCCGCGGTCATAAGTCGATCTTCACATTCCGAGTCCCTTGAATCCCTATCAAGTTTCCACAACACTCCGCAACAACTTCCCGCTCCTTCCACTTGACCGCCTCGATCTTCGCGGGACCCAGTTTTTCCCAAAGACTCACCAAATAATTGATGCAACAAATCTGGATTGCGATCCCCGAGAATTCACTACGAATCTGCGAAGCGTAGAATCTCGGCAAGGACGAATAAGAAATGAGATTTGTGTGTGGTGTGTGGGCGAGTAGTGCAACGTAGTAGGGGTCCAATTTTTTTGGTCACTAACTTGACTCGTTTATGCTTGAGCGCCCCGTTGTCCTCCTCGAACTAGAAGGCTTGCAGAGGAGTTCCGATTTTTACGCCCAGGAAAAGAATTAGAGTGTTGATGTGGGCGTCTGTTAGGGGGGTAATGAATGGAAGAGGAAGAACGGAAAGTTCATTCCTAGGTGCCAAGCGGAAAGATTTTGCCATTTAGGAAAGGGCTTATATGGCCTACTTTTGGTCTTTGTATGTCTTAAAATTGGACTAGAACGCTCATCAATGAAAAATAGTACAAAATCAATTTCCAAAAATTCCAAAAATTTTTATTCTTATTTTTTTGTAACTTTCAACAGCGAAAAACACTAGAAACACTATATAAATGTATTATCTATTATTAACATTAAGGTGGAAAATAAGCATTAGTACCCCCCGCCGTTAACAGCCCAGTAACGCATCTTTTTTTAGTTTACCAGCAAACCTTGGAAACCAAGGATACATGGAAGAGGCAATCTATGGCAACTTCCTCGTTTCTTAAAATATACGCCTTAATTAAAGGGTTTATACAGACAAAATTACCCATTTTGAAAAGGCCATGCCCAAAACTTACCCTTAATCGTTGCATACTGCAAAAATGACATTTACTCCCAACCAAAAATTTATCTGCAAGCGATCGCTAAAAGTCGTGAGTTAAAATTGGATTGAAAAATTTGCGAGAAGAGCGGAAAGAGCTCCGGAAAAACGGTATGATACCATACGGTACGAGATATTCTGTGAAAAAAGAACAGAGAATATAGAGCCACAAACTGAATTTCCATTTTCAGATACATGGACGGGTTGAGAGACTACCGTAACCCGGCGTACGCCCCACGCATCCGGGATTCTGGCGAGAAAATGGCCGTACAAGGAGAGGCACCCAGCAGAACTTCCGATTATAAGGTAGGCCCCAGGCAGGAATTTGCAGATTTATGAAAGCAATTTATCTCTAAAGGGACCGGGACCGGGACGAATTTTCACACATTTACATTTTTGCTGAAAAGAAAAATATTGTGCCATTTTGGGGAAATTCAAAATCGAATACAAGCTTCTCTTGGGGTGGAGCGTAGTTGTCGAGACCTAGTGGACCGGTGGGGTCGCTACGGGCGCTTCCTAATCCTTATAAAAATTATTACAAGATTTACGATTTTTAAAAAATTGGCTGTGTCGCTTCCATATTTTACAAAAAATTTAGGGTTTGCCGTTCTATTTCGTTAATATATTTTGGTAAAATACCATAATTTTTAATACGTTCAATAAAGCTTAAAAATTAAACTCAAAGTTCAAAAATAAAAATTAGCCAAATTTTTCATAATTTCTAGACGATTAAAAGAGGTTTCAAATGTACCTTTTAAAAAATCTGCTAACAAGTTAATTTAAACACCCATAAATTTTTTGAGACATTTGAAAAATCAGCTAATCCACTTTTTCAGGTGAAACGCTTCCGGCCTTGCTTCTACTCGCCGATCCAGTGCCTCATCAAGAAGTAAAAAAAATCGGAAAAGCACTGACCACCCGAAAAAGTACAATTTCCCCCTCCCCTTCCTTCCACCCAGGACAAACGCGTAGAAATTGGTTGTTTTTCTGACTGGCCAAAAATCGGCGAGACCAAGAAGCGTAGCTATTGCCCCATTTTGCCTTCCTTTCTGCTATTTGGTGCCCCCTCCATTTGCCCTGCTATATGCTATACTCGCGCCACATCCAGGATTTCCGCCCAGCCATAGTCTATATGGGCCCTACGAGGGGCTACCAAAAACCCAATAAATGTCTGCCTGTTCGTGGAAAATACATCTAAAAGGATATAGTAAAATACAGAATCGATATATTGAGGTTTAAAGGGGCTGGAAATCGTGAGAATCGACCCTTTCTATAGACTAGGTCTCGACAGCTACCTGCACAATGATTAGCGTATCAGAATTTTCCTTGTTTGTGGAAAACACTGTTCATCGGAGATTTGGTGTAGCGTCTGACTGTCCGCTAACATACACCCCGGATCAAAGCCCTGTGGACTTAAAGGGAGCGGGAAGCGCGTTAATCGACCCTTTTTGGTGACTGGGTCTCGACAGCTACGCGCGACGCTAAATGACGTATGGAAGCGCTAGGTGCTGTGTCGTCTCGTTTATGTGTCGTTTTGGTCCAGCTTTCCGTTAGGATACGCCTAGTACCGGGCGGTTGATTTTTAAGGGGTCTGGCAAGCACTGTAATCGACTCTCTCTCTCTCTGCCCGCTAGATTTGGCCGCCACTCGACGCGCGAAATGACTCGTGCAAACTTGTCGACAAGCGCAATGCAAACTTTTCATAGAGGGCGATCCAAAACCAATAAAATACAAAAAAGAATCATCCGAATTCCAGCACAAATCTGGTTCAAAGAAATGAAACAAGAAGAAATCCAACCAAAGCGAGCCGAATCCCATTATTTTAGGTCGGAAAGCACTGTGCATAGTAGCGTTGCGGAAACTCGGCAAAACTCCAATCAAATTCCTATAAACCATTCATTCCCCGTCTGTTATAAAGCTGTGAATTGCATGTTTGATTGGCTTGTAGTTCGGAGTCTGTGCCGGCTCCAAGCGGATTTTGAATCGGTGGCGGCCGATCTGGGCTCCCGGCGTCTTCTGGGGTTTTTGGAGCGTCCCTGGGCGGCTCCTTAAAAATTTATCTTTCTCTCTCTCGCATTCTCTCTCTCTCTCTCTCACCCTCTCCCTCCCTCTCTCTCTCTCTCTCTCTCTCTCTCTCTCTCTTTCTCTCATTCTCAAAAAACCTAAATACTGACCTCATCTTTGTACTTGTCGAAAATCCTCTCCAGCTTGACGCACTTCACGAACGGGTCTTCGTGAAGTATCGCGTCGGCGCTTCGGGCGCCTCCCTGAAATTCAAAACCTGAATTGTTAAAAAAATTTAGAAGCGGAATTCCAGCAAAATGAGCGATTTCAAGGCGGCAAAATTCGCAAACAAGGGATATTGTACCGAGTAGTGTAGCGGGAAATAGCCTGGTGGTGGTAACTGTTTCGGAATTTTCAAAAAAAATCCATAGTTTCTGACCTTTAAGCCTCTTAAGCTATTGACTGTTAGCTGCTCCTCATCTTCTTCCAATACCGTATCCGGGGTGGTGTCTGGAATGTTATTTTAGGGCTATTTTTGCCGAGAAGATTACGGCTCAGAGAGCGAAAGAGCCAGAGAAAAAGAAAGCGAGGGAAAGAGAGAGACAGCGAGAGATAGAGAGAGAGCGAGAGAGCGAGCGATAGAAAAAGAGAGACGGTGAGTGAGAGCGAGGGAGAGCAAGGGAGAGCGAGCAAGAGAGTGAGAGGAGAGAGCTAGGAGAGAGCAGAAGAGCGAATGCGAGAGAGAGATAGAGAGAGAGAGAGAGAGAGAGAGAGAAAGAGAGAGCGTGAGAGAGATAGTGAGAGCTAGCGAGAGAGGGAACGAGAGAGAGAGAGTGAGAGAGATTTTCTTGGAAGTTTCTGCATCATCTAAATACCGAAAAGCAAACCGGGCAAGAACCAACTTTTCCGCATCTCGTGCATCTCCTTATCAGACCGTACATGGAATAGAGCGTCCGGATCGAGCCGTTCAAGCCGCATCGGGGAGAGTTTACTATAATTTTAGAAATTTTAACAGCTAAAAATAATTATAGCTATGTTAATGTGGTAAATTAGTGGCGCTATTTTTCAAGGCGTGTGTAAAACTATCGAAAATAGCATGAATAAAGCGCTCAAGCAGTGCGTAAAAGCAGGCAGTCATTAATATGCAAAAATCGGTTAGAAGGTTGCATTAAATTAATATTAAGGTGGGATTAAAATAAGCCTTTGATCTTCGAAACCCACTCCATATTGTCGACGTGAATGGAGTTGGCCCTGGAATTTGGACGAATTTTTGCTGAACACCTATCTAAATTGCAAAACCTTTGGAGAGAACGGAGTCGCATTTTACTTTTCAGCCGTTGCAGACGGTTGAGGGACGGTTGGTTGCCTAAAACAGGATGTTCAATAAATTTTCTAAAGTTCAACTTGACTCAATTCGCAAAGAAAATTCCATTAGGTTATTCTTCAAAAAAATTACCGATCTCACTTGCATTCGTGATCTGAGACACGCGTCTATCACTAGGTCGATGTTCAGCTTCCGGTAAGCTGAATTAATAACATTTATTTTGCATATTTCTCATAAATTAATTATGTTTTTAACTTTATAAAATGAATGTCTATTTAATGTTTATTAAACGAACGTCCAGAAAAGAAAAACGTACACAACTTGCGAAACCGATCCGACGAGCTCGCCGGTGTCGACTGGCGGCTTTGGTGGCCAGTTAGTCTGAAAAAAATATACTTAGTTTATTACAGTTTTGAACAGCCTACTGTAGTTCATTTAAAAAATTTCGCGAACCATGCAAAAATATCCATCTACCTTGAAAATATCCATCTTCAACTCGGGGATCGAGTTACATTCGCCATCAACGATGGCCATACCGGTCTGAAATATGCATTCGTTCTTTCTCTCTCTCTCTCTCTCTCTCTCTCTCTCTCTCTCTCTTTCTCTCTCTTTCTATCTACGTCTCTCTCTCTCGCTCTCTGCCTCACCGCAATATTTTTATCGATCAAATAATTGCACTCAAAATCATCATCATCCTCTCCCATCGGATTTAGGAGCGACTCGGCCACCTGAAAATCTCAATTCTTGTCTTCAATGGTCCTTTAAAAATAAATTTGTACATCACACTCGTAGCCACAGCACATCCCATGCTTTTCCTTACCTAGTGATGATCAGAAATTCTGTTAAAATTTTAGATGCTTTAATACCGAAAAATCCCAACCTTCATCCAACCGATCAAGCAGATGAACTGGAGGGCCGTCGTCACCGGGAAGTACATGTCGATCTGTAAGTTTAGGTTTAAAAAGACTAGCAGCTCGAGAGAGAGAGAGGGAGAGAGAGAGAGAGGGGGAGAGACGGAGAGACGGAGAGAGGGAGAGAGGGAGAGAGTGAGAGAGCGAAAGAGAGAGTGAGAGAGAGCAAGAAAGACAATAGGTGAGAGAGGTCGACAAACCGGCGATCGCAGATCAGAATCATCGATGATCCGGAATTGACGCCCAACGAGACATAAGTAGAAATAAACTCGGACGGCAAAGAAGACCACCTAAAACTTGAATTATTGGCCTTAAACAGGTATTAAAAGGTTAGAGAAAATTAAAATAATTTTTAGAAACCTGAGGATACGCCAATGGAATCGGGACCCAATCGAAATTGCTGAGAAGTTGAAGGCTCGAGCGGAAGGCTTTGATTTCCTAAAAAAATCCCCGATTTACGATTTCTCTCTATCTCTCTTTCTCTCTCACTCTCTCTCTCTCGCCCCCTCACTCTCTCTCTCTCTCTCTGCCACCACTCACATTAATGACATTCTGAAGACTCGGCTCTGAAGTTATCTTATTCTCCTCCCTCATCTTGTAGACGATTCCCATGGCCCAGTTGATGGGGGCCCAATATTTATTGTACGGCATGTCAATGCTATCGAGCATGACCAGCTCGTGCTCCTGGAGGAAGCCTGAAATCAAGTCTGATTCTGAAGCTCTTTTTGGTTTCTATCCCTATCTAAAAGCCGTTTTCATTTTTTCTAAAGAATGCTGACTTAATCTATATATTTGGATGTCTGCTTTCTTCATTTTCCCATCAGGCTCAAATGCCAAACACTCCCAGATATGCAAAAGGGCCATAAACGTGGCCATTGAAATGTGCCCACTCACCGGCCTCGATAATCGAATTCATCGTGGGAAAACGACGGCGGACCCGCATCGAAATGTCGCGGAACACCAACACCTGAAAACCGGAGATGGGGTGGTGTTTATAGGAGTGTAGTGTAGTTTCCTATCGGGAAGGCTAACACTCGGCCCTCGGGCCTGGTACGCGGTCTCCGGTTGGCTTTTGATTTCGTATCGGATAGGCTTAGGCTGAGGCTGGGGATTAGGTTTGGCTTTGGCTTAGGCTTAGACTTAAACTTGGGCGTAGGCTTAGGCTTAGGCTTAGGCCCCCTGAAACCTAATTACGCAGACTACATAGGCTGAAAACAAGCATATGCCCTTTAAAGAAAGCTCAATTTAGTTTTTCAAACTTTTGATGACTATGGGCCTTGATTTTCTGCAGTAATCAGTACTGTGTAGTCTCCCATACTCTCCCACCTGTGTCAAGCAGATGTATCTCACAATCGACCTTCTGGCGATTATCGTGTCGTGATCGTTGCCCCGGATCAACACCGAGATCGTAAGGGCTTGGCTAAAATTTGGGGTCTCAGAGAAGGCGTGGATCAAATTGTGTTTGCTAGCCTGCCAGGCATGAATTTCAAGCCATTTTTAGTTTCCCTAAACGTATCTTAAAATTTCTGAAATTTCAGAATTTCTGCTGGCCTTCGAAAATCCATAATTGGTAAAAATTAGGCAGATGCGAATTACTACACTCAAAATCCATTTAATTCATGTTGAAAATTTTTAGAAAAACAAATATTGCACAAAAATTGGCCGTCACACTACAAATTACAGGTTTTACATCGCTAAGATAACCAACTTCTCAACCCATCCCATATTGTTGAACACTTGTCGCCACCGGTCCACCACCAGCGTCACGAAAAACCCGAGCATAAACGTCAACGGCAGTCGATCCGTATTCTTGTTCAAATAAAACGATAGCGCCTCGAAATCCCTGCAAAATATTACCTGCATCTCGCTGTTGATCGTGAAAATTATATCCGCCATTTTTCTGCAATACTTTTTCAGAACTTGCATAGTAAAAAAGATTTCTCCCCGGGACCCAGAAAAATGAGCACGAGTTTGAGCCGCAAGGATTAGCGAGAGCAAGACCGAGAGGGAGAGAGAGCGAGAAAGAGAGAGGGAGCGAGAGAAAAAGAGAGCGAAGGAGAGAGAGAGAGAGAGAGAGAGAGAGAGAGAGAGAGAGAGAGTAAGACAGACGAGTAAGAGTCGTAGTGAGAAATGAAAACTATAGCGAGAAAGTGCGAGATTTTTTATCGAAAATTGACATGCTATAATTGAATTAAACAGCGCTTTGATGGGTTTCCAAAACGAGGCGATGAATTTTATCATACCTCTGCTGCTCCTCCGTCAAAAACACGTCGCTCCGGTAGAAGAACATGACCATGTAATAAAGCACGAGCCATGTGAAGAGTTCGCCCGATACCTCAAAAAAATCTTGTTTTTTCGAAATTATAGTTTTTCCAAGAGCCAAAAGCTATTCGATTTTTGACAGGTTTTAGGATGCAAAAAAGCATTTTATTTTTTCCTACTTACCGACTTCCATATCGAGCCCTTCCATCGAAACAATATCCGTGCCCACGTCAGGGAACCCACAGAAGAAACGGCCAAGTTATACGAAACAGTCATACTTATATCCTACGCATAGAAACCTGGCTGGTCGGGTCGCTTTGGTCAACTAAAACACAGTGTTCGTTTTTTAATCAAGTCTAGTAAGAAGACAAAATAATTTGGCAGAACCAGAGAGAGAGAGAGAAAAAGAGAGAGAGCGAGTGAGAGAGAGCGAGAGAGAGAGAGCGCAAACTTAATGTGTTCAGAGGAAGGTCAGGAGGCTCCCAAAAATTATGTTTTGGCTGGGAAATAATGGACCCGACGGTTTGCCGTCTGAATCATGGTTCCGGAGGACTGAATTGACTTTCAAAAATAGTAAGCCGAACGAAATGGTCCTGCACAATACTCTATGCTTTTGTTCAGGACGTTAATATGAATAAATGGTTAGCGTGCAGTTTACCCCCCCCCCCAGCCGTAACTTTTCAGCCATACGTCCTATTAATGCGCCGAGTATCTCAAAATGTTCCTCATGGTTGAAATACTATAAAAAAGTTGTTTCCTTACATCAAAAATTGTTAGAAAAATTTTTATAACAATTATAAGTCTGGGTTTTCTTTAGTTAATTTTTGCTGTTCCAAAGTGAGTTTTCGTATCTCGGCTATCTTTTGACGTACAGAGCTGCCAATGGTACCAAAATGTAGCTCTTGCTCTGGAGAATAAGCCTACAGTACGTTTGAGTCGAAAAAATAGCGGAAAATAAAAAATATTTGAGTTCCAGACTCCTAGTACACCGAAGCATAAGCAATCTTTTCGACTTTCAAAATCTCGTAAAAAAAATTTTTGCAATTTTTGTCGCAAGAAAACAACTTTTTTAAAGTAATTCGACCACGGCGAACATTTTGAAATACTCCACGCATTAATAGGACGTATGGCTGAATAGTTAGGGCTGGGGGGGTGGGGGGGTAAACTGCACTTAAGCCGAATAAATAATGTAAGTTAAGGGCTCTATTCCGTGTTTTGCTCAAACTGAACAAAAACATCGAAATGGTGCCATTTTCTATTCTTTTCTTCTTAAGGTATTGTTCACCCCTTACGGGGTGTGCGCCGATCCCAGCAGTAAGTGCAATGCCGGGCCGACGCTGTCCGGCGAGAAGCAAGCTTCTGCTAACCGAACCATTTCCAAAAATACGTTAATCTCGTTGTACACAATAGTGTACGTATCGGAGATTAAGCCGATAAGAACTTTTAACGTTTATTCAGACAATGCTCGGCCCGGGGGCCGGATCAAAAGTGGATCACAATTTCGAGAAGAATGCATAGAATGACGCGCAGGTCATTTAGAATTAGGGGTTACAGCATTTTAGAGGAGAAATGACAAGAATCAGTAAATCACAGAAAGATTTTGGATTCAAGTGGGGTGGGGCACGAGAAATTGACAATTTGAAAAATGAGAATCGCTTCTTTAGGCTTGGTATTGACGTTGCCCGCAGACGTGCTCGATGTAGATGTCCTTGGACCAGCGTACCGCGTCGGCGACCATCAACTTCTTCATCAGACCAGCGTACTTGACCGAGATGGCGAGGCGGCGCAGCACTACTTCGTTTCCTTGATCCCATCCACCGAGCGGACCCACGATGAAGGCGCCCAGGAACGTGTCGTAGCCGTCCGCGTTGAACTTGTTGAAGATGTCGGCGTACTTGCGGAGCTTCCCGTCACGTGCAGATTCGAAGACGCTCAGGTCGTAGTTCTCGAACGACATTGTCACATCCACGATCGTCACACGCTTCTTGACATGGTCGACGAGGGCGAGATCGGGACGTAGTTGACCATCGGTGCCGGGGATCTTGACGTTGACGTATTTTGTGGTGGTGTCGGGCAACTTGATGGCGTTGATGAGGCGGTCGACGATGGCATTGTGACGGAGGGTGATCGCATGGTTGTGGACTGGACAATGATTGAGCACATGGGCGACGCTCTCGATCGTGGCGCCACATCTACGGCAGGTCTTGTCATGGTGATCACGGGCACGCTTGCATCCATTCAGCGGCACCACGTCGAGTCTTGCGCGGTGAACGAAGCGCCAATCCGCAAAACGGAGGAAGCGTCCGTCACGCATGAAGTAGTTGGAGCAGGGCTGGCGAGCGGTGATGTTGTAGACCTTCCCCTGACTCTTTTTGGCGGTGAGGTGAACGAGTTGAGCTTGATGGACGGCGCCCTTGAGCATCTTCTCACACGTCTTCTTGGTGACGCCACATCCGAGCACGAGCAGTTGGATCTTGTCGTTGGCCCAGGTCCACTTCACGTCGAGCTTGTCCGTCTTGACCAGCCGTCCCGTTGCTTGTCGCACTCTTGTCCACATGTTGCGCGTGTCGGCGTAGTACGTCTCGAAGGCACCGTCGAGCTTCTGGTTCAGGTAGTCGGCCACTTCGGAGTCGGTTGGCGCACGAAGGAGTTTCTTCTGGGCAGCCGTGCGGAGCAGCTGAGCAGTCATTGGGCCGAGATCAGTCGACTCCAACAACTGGACAGCATGCACCAGCTGCATCACGTCGGCGAGGGTCTTCGTCTGGATGAAGCCGAGTCCTCCCATCTCATTCGGCAGGTAGAGCACTTCAGGGCTTGCTTGACTTGGCAGGTTGAGCCACATTTTGCCGTATTTCTTGAGCTTCTTGTCGAAGGGGATGAGGTGCTTCTTTTTCTCCACGTAGCCGTTCTTCAGGTGGAAGCCGATGCACGGGAGGATGAAGGTCTTGACGGCATCAGCCTTCTGCCATGGAGCCAGCAACGAGTTGTGGACCTTGTCGAGGCACTGGTGCATTTTGTTGATCGTCTTCTCAGCGGATGAGCCTTGATAGTAGCCGGTGGGCACGCCGAGATGTTCGTAGTGGTCGTCGGAGTCGAGCGTCACCATCGGAGAGCCTTGAACGGAGTACTTGATCGGCATGGCAGTGTGCTTGTTGGAGTTGACGACGAGACTTGCGCACTTCTTGGCGTTGTACACGAGCCCCAGCCACGTAGAGACTTCGGACACGGTCTTAAGCACAGCATGTAGATCGTCGGGATCCTTGGTCACGATGGCAAGGTCGTCAGCATAGGCGAGCACAGACACCGTTCTTCCATTGATCACGAAGCCAGCATCCATGTTGATGACGGCACGGATGACGGGCTCGAGCGCAAGGTTGAACACGATCGGCGAAAGCGGACAGCCCTGCTTGACACCCGCTTGAATGTTGATGGCCGGAGTCGGACCAGTAGAACTTCGGACACATGTTGTGGCACCTTCGTAGAGACGACGAATTTCTTCAATTGCCTCCACCGAAAGGCCAGCGTATTCGAGGCATCGGAAGAGCGAGGCATGCGGGACGGAGCCGAACGCGTTGGAGAGGTCGAGCCAGGCAATGGCGCACTTGCTGTCGATCCTTGTGTCGCGGCGGGTCTCGACGATCACGGACTGGAGGAGGAAGTTGTGCTCTGTGCACCCATCGACCGGCATGAAGCCCTTCTGCTCATTGGAGATGCGGTTGTGGAGGCGGGCCCATCTGCCGAGACGGCGAGCCATCACGGACGCGTACAACTTGGCGACGGTGTTTGAGAGTGTGATGGGCCTCCAGTTGGAGACGTCATCCTTCGGGCCTTTTTTGTGCACCAAGATGGTGTTGGAGCCGTTCCAGGAGCTTGGGATGTACTTGAGGCGGCGGACGGCATTCATGTAGGCGGCGAGGACCTTGGCACCCGGGTCGAAGAGCTTCAGCACAGAGTAGCGGACACCATCGGGACCAGACGCAGTGTTCTTGACGTGGAGAAGACGATCCCAGAGTTCTTGTGGCGTGTAGTCGTCAGCAAATGGATTGGAGTCGCCATCTGGGATGTCATTGTCGTGTTGTGGAACCGATCGAGGGAGTCGGCTTTGGTCGGGCACATCAGTTCGTTCGAACACTTTGGAGAAGTGGTTGTGGAGGTCGTCACTCGGGATATCGCAGAACGGCGAAGATTCCTCCGTGATTTCCTTATAGGCTCTCGGCCGAGACCGACGGTAGAGCTTCTGGATCCGAGAGGCGGCTTTAGGGCAGTAGCGGGCTTGGGCACGTCTCCGTCCTGTAGGTGTGCTTGGTGGCGGCGGACGAGCTCGGGCTGGTGGCTTGCGTGGCGGCGGCTTGTCCCGTATCGAGTATTTGGCCTTGATCACGGTAGTCAGTTCATCGGCCAGCTTTTCCAAGTCTGCTGTGTCGGCCACATCCGTAAACCGTGTGACCCATCCATCTTGGGAGATGTCCATGAGGGGGTCAGGTTGATGAGGAGCATCTGGAGATGGTGGACGGCTTGGCGGCGGGCTTGCGGCTTGAGCACGGGCGGGGCGACGCACAGTGTTGACGGGCGTGACGAACGTCTCAGACTCGCTATCACTGGAGCGCACCCTTGGACTCACAGGCTGGGGGGACCCAGGTCTGATCCGCCGTGGGCTATTCCGAGCGACAACGGGCTGGACGGGTGGCGGTGGCTGCGTGGCGGCTTGTGTGCAGGCGACGGTGTTGGCTTGGTGGTACTTCACCGCTTTGATCGTATCAAAACGGGTCCGGCAGACGGCACATCGGAACTTGATGGCGAGGTGGTGGGTGAGCTTGAGATGCCGCGTGAGTCCCCCTGCAACTTATACGGTCCCGCTGCACAAATCCGACACTGGTAGGTATCGATTGGCGTTGGTAGGTAATAGAAGCCGGGGTCCTCTGGGCAGGCGTAGTCGTCCTCCTCGTCCTGGTCTTCCGGGGCTCCGTTACGGCCCCCGTCCGAACCGGCCTCCGAGGAGGGCGAGTCGACGGGCAGCACGTACACGTTGCCATCCGGAATCCGCAGGCTGTCGTCGTCCTCGTCGTCGTCGTCCTGGGCCATCTTGGTTGGCGCGGTGGTTGAAGAGACGATAATCGAGTGGTCCGATTTGGCCCGGTAGTCTGTCTCAAGTCGATATCAAGGGCGATAAACCGATGAGTAACCGAAATGAGGTCTTCCCGTAAAGATCAAGTGTATGTATCAGTCCGATAAGAACTTTTTACTAACATTGATCTTAGCCAAAGGCCAGAAGCGATATCGTTGAAGCGGTGGGCGAGTAGTTGTGGTGGGGAGGTGGTCCAGGCGGGTGTCGAGTCAGGGCGCGGGCGGGGAACATGCAGAGTTCAGATGGATATCGGGTACTCAGCCACTAACTACGTTATTACAGCGAGAAAACGCTTGGATTAAAGAAGGGGATAGTATAATTTATCTGCTGTGTTCCTACGCGTATCGTAGCGTATAGAAAAAGGCAGTACGTGCCGTATACCACACTTTATCGACATACGCAATATCGTCGTTCACGGCCGTTACGATCTAGGCCTTTGCTACGCTCGCAGTGCTACCTTGGGATTTAAAGAGATAGTGAAATAGCGTGAGAGAGAGCACAAAAGTGAAAGAGAGAGAGAGAGACATGAGGGTAAAAGAAAAGTCCCGCTTGAATCATCATTTCCTGGATCATCTAAAAACTTTCCAATACCGTCCGGACCGAAAACTCCCAGCCTCCAGATGATGAGCAACGAAATCGACAGGCCCTCCATGTGAAAACGAGGAAAAAGGGGAAGAGGAGCAGTGGCTGGGAAAGAAAGAGCCGCTGTGGATGGCTTGTTGGCCATCCACAGGTCAATGTATGCAAAATCTAACCCCCCGGGTTTGGTCGTACAGCCAGATACAGCACTCTGTCGCTCGCATGTTTTTATGTAAACAACGACCAGCAGAACAGAAAACCGATTTTTGCGGCGGTAGAGGAAAAGCCGGTGGAAATTTGGGTCTAATCAACGTCATCAGCGTCCAAAACTTTGCGTCAAAATTTGGCGGGAAATCAGATCAAAAATTATGCGTTCATTTGTAACGGATATTAATTGGAACATATTTTTTCGGTGTTTTACGCATGCTATAGGAATAAAACCAAAACAGGAAAACCACTTAAACAGCGGGAAAACTGGATTTTTAGACGGATTTTACAATTTCAGCTTTTCATTGACATCAAAAACCTTTATACAAACTACTAATTATTGTTTTATTCCACGAAAAAGATGGCAAAAATTGAATCGGCCGCGGCTCAGTCGAAATAACATTCACATAGATGACTCTGTCACATAAAAATGAGCCCCGGGTCCTGTATGTGAAATCGATGCTATAGGAGTTCGTTCCAAATTCTGGTCAAAAGCGCAGTTGTATCCAGTTTTCGGTCATCGATATCCTTGATCATATTAACTGTAAAATTAGCTAAAACATGGGAAATTTCTGCATCAAAACTATGCAAAAATAAGAATTCAGAACAATTTTAGGGGAAAAAGTTTCCAAAACCCCTGAGGATCTGTGTAGATGAGGCTGTGAATTTAGCGCACCAGGACATCTAGTCTCTATTTTTAGACTTTCCAACTACTAAAAAGTATATATAAATATGTATGTAAATATATAAATACAATTATACCCCTAAATATGGTTATTTAAAATCAATTTTCGGTGCAAAAGGCTGAAAATTCCTGAGAACCGACCAAAAATGACGCGAAATGAGACATGAGGGGGATGTTGTCACGATCAAAAACCTAACAGGTCGGAGGAGGGTGGGAAGGGGTGGGGTAGAGGGGCTACGAGGCGATACCAAATACGGTTGTTTACCTAGACTCACGTACAAATGGGATGCGAAAACGGGAGGACAACCCCCTATACCCACATTTTGTCATTCTTGAACTCGTGCAAAAGGACACACGACTTGGTGTTTAGGTTTTTGAGACGAGAGACGGGTGAGGTGCGTCAAGAAAACACCTTGATTGTCCGAGCAGCTACTGTCACGCTCCCTTTAAAATGCACCAAACGATTACGGTAGACGTTAAGAAATCGTTTTATACATTACCTCGAATGAAACTACCTTTATAGATAGTTGTATTGGAGTCTAAGACGTAATCAGATAGATTTTTCTAGCAGGATTTAGAACTGAATAACACCGAAATGTCATAATGTCGAAAATTCATAATGCTTCGGTTATAAATGCCGAAATTTTGATTTTCGCAATTTTATAACACGTCATCTTTAATCTGTCGAAATTGTCAATGTGGAAATTTGCTAATATTAAATCCATTATCCATATAGGTTGACTTCGAGGTCTTGTAGGTTGACTAATATCAGCCTTGTAGTTGGTTTTTATTCGATTGTTCACCCCTAGCGGGGTGTGCGCCGATCCCAGCAGTAAGTGCAATGCCGGGCCGACGCTGTCCGGCGAGAAGCAAGCTTCTGCTAACCGAACCATTTCCCAAAAATACGTTAATCTCGTTGTACACAATAGTGTACGTATCGGAGATTAAGCCGATAAGAACTTTTTTTACTAACATTGATCTTAGCCAAAGGCCAGAAGCGATGTCGTTGAAGCGGTGGGCGAGTAGTTGTGGTGGGGAGGTGGTCCAGGCGGGTGTCGAGTCAGGGCGCGGGCGGGGAACATGCAAAGTTCAAATGGTTATCTGGTACTCAGCCACTAACTACGTTATTACAGCGACGCTTGGATTAAAGAACGGGTAGTATGGGTATTTTATAGGCGTTATGGTTTATAGGTATAGGCGGCTAGATATAGTCGTATTAATGTTTGCATCATATAGAAGTATCGGTATGTCGTTTTGATTCACGCGTTGAGAATAGGAAACACTTCGGGGCAGGGGGAGAGCGTATGTAGGTCGGTTTTTTTCAGCTTACGGTAAAATCTTGAACAAAACGGAAATGAAAATTGTCCGGAAATTCCAAGAACCGAAATTCCGGAAGGTTTGCATGACAAAGCCTTCGACCAGCCCCATTCGGCGCCGTGAAATCGATGAGTTCTGAATGGGAGTGGCTGGCTGGCTGTAGGCGAACACGCCGCGGGTAAAATATGCTAGC